GTAAAACAGTATAATGAACTCTCAAATACCCAAAAATATGCAACTTCAACAATTACCAATCAAGGCCAGCTTTGTACCATTCATGCCCCCATAGACAGGTCTAGTCTATTCTAAGCTAGTTATTTTGGCCACAAGTATAGGTATTTTTTTATAGGAGAGGGAAGGTGGAAATGTGTTTCACACAGAGACTGAAAATGTGTCTCACACAGAGACTCACTTTGGGTGGTCACTTTTCTCTTTGGATTCCCATTTCTTTAAAATGAAGTTGACAATAGTATATATATATATATATATATATATATATATATATACTCTATATCTATATATATATATACTATTCTCCTCTCGGGATTTGGGCACGCATGCACATGTGCCCAGCGTGAGTTTAAGCCACTGGGTCCAGATCTGGAACCACAGTCGAATACATGGGAGTCCAGCGACATAGCCATTACACCAACTGCTGGTCCTGACAAAAATAATGTTTGCTATGCATACTTCACAAGGGTCTTTGTATAGGAAGTGAGATGTTTGCGAAAGGTCTCTAAAAAGAAGTGCTGGAGCCAGCAGGTGATATGGTGGATAAGGTGCTGGACTCCCACATGGCTGACCACAATTCAAGTTCTGGACCTGGTGGCTTGCTTTCTCATTTTTTCTCTCTCTGGTCAAACTGATTAATAATAATAATAATAATAATAATAATAGGGACTGGACTTTTAAGGACATGCTACAACTCCACCTCTCTCCATGTGGCACCAAATATGTGCTCAACAAACATTTATTAAGGTTATTGTTAAGCACTAGGTTATAACTACAAACCCTCTTCTTCAAGATTAGGTCATATCCCTGAGCCTAGCTACTCACACTGCAAATGTGGTCGCTAAAACCATGAGGCCACAGAGAATGGTGACTCATTGCATCCCAAGCCAGCAGCACACCCTGTTGGACCAAGAGAGTCGTTTCTCATATCACATGTCCTTACTCAATGTCAAGGCCTGGCAAGTGTCAAATCATGTTCAAAGTCTTGAGTCCTATATCTCCATTAGGGTTCAGGATGAGAATTCCAGAGCCAGTGGGCAAGACCTCAAAATTACATTTTGAAAAAGATTCTGTGACAAGCACAAGCTAAGTTATCCTTTCAAAAAGTATTTGGAGATAAGTTCTAGACATAGAATTTGGAACCGTGAGAGGAGGCCATAGAGGGATGCCTGACCCAAAGGTTGGCCTCAAGCTCTTTGGGCTGCAGCAGGAGAGAGCTTCTTTCGCTCTTGTTTTCCCTCCCTTAGAAGAGAATTTCAGAATTTCCTCCTTGCCGCAACCTCTGCTTTCTGGTGGCCATGAAAACAGTATTGTCCTACTCAACAGGGCCAGACTTCCTATCTCCAGCTGTCCTTTCCCCGTCTTCTTTCTCCACATTGAGGTCCCTCTGCAGACAGATTTCTCAGTCTGTGATTTTCTCACTGCTGGACCCCAGCGGCTTTGCTTCCCCAGAGCTGACGGGAGAAAGCAGAAATGAAAGGACTGCAGTCGTGTAAGCACGCTGGGGCCCAGGTCACTGACGACCCGAGTTTTTAATGAACATGGAGGCCAGGAACTTGAAAGGAAGGTCAGGGTTCACAGGAGAGCAAGTGCAATATGCGTCTGGATTATTAAATCCTGACATGCAGACATCGTGTTCCCCAGTCCCCACTCCTCTCAGGCAAAGAGCTGCACGAGCAGTCAGTGCTCCCAGCCTCTCGGAAACCTTTGGACGAGAATGAAGGACCTTTGACCATTGGATGTGTCCTAAGAATTGAGCTCCTACCCTGACTCTACAGGTATCTGACTCTTCCATATTCCCACAAAGAATCCAGGATCGGGGCTGGCAGGTGGCGTGCTGGTTAAGGGCACTGGACTCCCACATGGCTGACTGAAAAATCCAATGGTAAAGTGTGGTCTACTTTGAAATGTTTGGACGGAAGCATTTCGAAGTAGAAATAATGTAAAGCCAAACGGGCCAAACAGCAACAACGGAATGCAGGTGGTAGATATACAGTGTTCCTTGTGCTATCCTTTCAGTATTTTTCTCAATATTTTAAAATGATAATGAAACTTTGGGGAAAATAATTTAAGTCAATGTATGAACCCAGTTGAATAAAATATAAACAAGCCACCATAGGAGCAAAAGAAAAAAGGAAAGAAAAAACTTTTACATTTCTTTTTAAAAATTTTTTAAATAATTACTTATTTAATTTTATTCATTCATTTATTTTTTAATTCGAACAGAGAAAGACACAGAGAGAGAGAGAGAGAGTAAGAAAGCAAGTCGCCAGGTTTGGGATTCGAATCGTGGTCAGCCATGTGGATGTGTCCAGCACCTTAACCACCATGCCACCTGCTGGTCCCCAAAAATTTGATATTTCAACTTGAGTCAAGTCTAGGTGTGGCTGCCAAAACATTCTAGGTATAAAACAAACAAAAAAGTAACCATGAGCTGTGTTAATAGAAATACAGTGTCTGTTGTGTGACAGTGGACAAGTTATTTACCCTCTGTAAATTTCAGTACCTGCCCCCCCAAAAAAAAAAACTCAGTTCCATTGAATGTAAAATGGGAGTTATAGCAATTCCGTGTTTCTTGGAGTTAGGTCAAAAAAGAAATGAGACATTGTACCTAAGGGGCTTGAAACAAAAGCCAATATTCCTTAAGTGTATAATAAGTAGCTGGTAAGACTAGAAGAATGAGGAAAATGTTACAGTCCTTCCCAGCTCTGTGCTATAATGTAGCAGTTTCTATTCTGCCTTGGGCTGCTCCTGGTAATATTGGCATTGGTGTCATCTGATGAGCAGCAGAAGGACAAGGAGGTAGTTTCACCTGGAATGGAAGAGGCTGGGTCCAGGAAGGCATCGTGCTGACTTCTGACAATTGAAGGAATGGCACTAGGAGCAAAGGGTAAATGTTTCAGTAAACCAGGTCCCATCTTAAATCAAGAAAACCCTCAGAGCTGTTTGAAAAGGAAATTGTGAGCTCACTAGAAGAATCGGAGAATACTTTTTGTCAAATATGCCTCAGACAAGGGACGATAACCAGAGTACATAGGGAACTCAAGGGACTTACTCGGGGGGGAGGGAATTAACCCAATTAAAAGGTGGGAAAATGAGCTGAACAAAAATCTAAGGAAGACATATAGCCAAAAATCATATGAGGAAGTGCTCAGTATCCCTCATCATAAGGGAGATGCAGATTAAAACCACAATGAGATACCACCTAACCCATGTCAGAACGGTGAAGATTAAAAATACAAAAAGTGATAAGTGTTGGCAGGGATGTGGTGAAAGGAGAACTCTCCTACACTGTTGGTGGGAATGTAAACTCGTTCAGTCACGGTGGAAAACAATATGGAGATTCCTCAAAGAATCTACAGATAGAACTACCATTTGACCCAGCAATCCCACTCCTGGGTATCTACCCAAAGAACAGGAGAATGTTGAGCCAGAAAAGTGCTTGCACATCAATGTTTATTGAAGCATTATTCATAATAACTAAGACAGTGAATCAACCTAAATGTCCACAAACAGATGAATGGATGGAAAAAGTGTGGCACATATACTCTATGGAATACTACTCAGCCATAAAAAACCCTGGCATTTGATAGAAAGTGGTCAAATATGGGTGATCTGTTGCTGAGTTGTGAGCTCCCTGTTTCTGAGGATGGGTGAGCTTCAATCAAAGGCTGGCCAACCACTTGGTGAAGACATTCTTTCAGTCATGAAGAAGATTAGGCCAGATGATCTTTCCAGTCAGAGAATCCAAGATATTCTAAAATATGGCACCTGGGTGTAAATAAATGCTATAGAGTTGAGTTAGCAAGACAAATATATTCCTTAATATAGTTACCATTGTCGCTTAAATCTTGAAGATCTTTATCTTATATCAGAAGACATAAAAACAGAAATCGAATAGATTTTCTATACTGGTCAGCTATTACTATTAGACCATCTAGACTGAGTGTTGAATCTGTCATCTTTACTCTCACATTTACTCATTTATCTTTCAATATTTTAAATACATTTATAAGATCTATATCCTGGGTATAAGAATACAAAAACGAGGGACCAGCAGTTAGCGTAATGGCTATGTCGTTGGACTCCCATGTAGTCGACCGCGGTTTGCGTCCTGGACCCAGTGGCTTAAACTCACGCCGGGTGCGTGTGCGTGCGTGCCCAAGATACCGAGAAGAGAATGGAAGAGAAGGGATTGCAGCGTGACCATCCCCCCTGGGGGGTGATTTCTCACTTTCTGTCTCTCTGTCTCTGTCTGTCTGTCTGGCGAGCGCACGCACCCTATAGCAAAAACCTCTCCAAAAAAAAAAGAATACAAAAATGTTTGGATGAAACATTTAATAGACACAAAAGCGAAAAGTTACTGTTGGTTATAATGTATATAGTAATGTCTTTGACTCAACACATATGCACTGTATTCATGCTAGGAAAAACTATGTTGTACGTTATAGAGCTATACCGTGATAAATGTGAATGTAAATATATACATAAATTTAAAATTTTTTACAAGAATAGACGTAAAAGGAAGTGATAAGAGCAGTGGAGTAAGTGCCAGCAATGGGGTTCACAGGCATGGACAGCTTAAGCAGAGACAGAGCTTCACAGTGTCTAGAAATGGTGGAGAAGGCTTCCTCGAGGAAGTGACATTTGAGCTACATCATTGAAGATAGAGAAGTATTTCCCAGACATAGTAATGGGTAGAAAATCATCAAGGCAGGGCCAGTAGATGGTGTGGCAGTTATGTTGCTAGGACTCCCATAGGACTGACCGTGGTTCAAGTCCTGGACCCAGTTGATTGAAACTCATGCCAAGCATGTGTGCATGTGTGCCCAAGATCCTGGGAGGAGAAGGGATGCAGTATGGCCATGCGCCCTGGAGGGTGATTTCTCACTTTCTCTCTCACTGTCTCTGTCTCTCTCTCCAGCGCATGCATCCTAAATCCTAAGGCAAAAACCTGGTGAAAAAAGAAAAGAAGGAAGGAAGGAAGAAAAAATGATCAAGGCAAATGGAAGAACTTATCAAAAGTCAAGATAGGGGACCAGCAGGTAGCATGGTGGTTAAGGTGCTGAACTCCCACATGGCTGACTACAAATCCTGGATTCAGTAGCTTGAAAATCATGCTGTGTGTTTGTGTGTGTGTGTGTGTGTGCATGCACATGCCCAAAACCCCAGGAGGAGAATAGAGGAGAAGGGATTGCAGCGTGGCCATCCCCCGGGGGAGAGAAAGTTCTCCCTCCCCTCTGTCTCTCTCCAGCAAGCCAGCAAGCACACATGCCCTATGGCAAAAACTAAGGAAAAAAAGATAGAGGGCCGACCTCACAGCCCAGGGCTTAAGGGAACTGTATCCCACATGGGCGTCACTAACTCAAACCGTGTCCATGGTGGCTCATGTAACATCCTGGGCACATGGGCCTGAATGTCTAGAACCCCAACAGAATGGAGAAAGGGGGGGTATGCCCACTGGGGGGTGCTTTCTCTCTCTACTCCCACTCCCCCTTTTCCTGTCTCTCTCTCTCTGGCAAGAGCATGCATCTCTGGCAATTAAAAAAAAAATCAAGATGGAGTCCTGAGTTTTAGGTAAGACTAGATCTCAAGGACATATAAAAGCCAGGAACACCAGAAATATGTGTCACTTCTACGTGGAGAGGGAGAGAGACCTTAGTGCTTACACACTCAGCTTTCTCTTCCCTCTCTTCTCCCTGCTTTAGAGCCTCTCTCCTAAAGCCCAGTATCTTTTCATTCTTTGAGCTGGTGACCCCACTCACACTGTTTTTAGAGTTTTTCTCTCCTCTTCATGTTCCTGCATTGTAAGAGGGTTTGCTGGTCTAGTAACATTGACTTGGTCTATCCCTAGTTGTAGATTTCAAATTCTTCAACTCCCCCCTCCCTCAAAAAAAAAAAAACAAAAAAAAAAAAAAAAAAAATTTTACCCTTTGATGGGCCCATTGGGGTCCCCTGCTTTAGAGCCTCTCTCCTAAAGCCCAGTATCTTTTCATTCTTTGAGCTGGTGACCCCACTCACACTGTTTTTAGAGTTTTTCTCTCCTCTTCATGTTCCTGCATTGTAAGAGGGTTTGCTGGTCTAGTAACATTGACTTGGTCTATCCCTAGTTGTAGATTTCAAATTTATACAACCCCCCCCCCCCCAAAAAAAAAAAAAAAAAAAAAAAAAAAACAAACATTCTACCCTTTGATGGGCTCATTGTGGTCCCACCAAGACACTCCCTGGAGGCTTGTCGCATGTAAGATTTTAGGTTCCTCCACTATGCCCTCTGGTGAATTGAAATCCTGTTTTCCATTTCCTCAGCTAATGAGCAGAGCTGATGAGGGGCGACTGAAAGTGAGAGTGGGAAGGAGATTCATGAAGCTTTAACTTGGCCTTATAAAAAGGAACTCTAAATCCTACCCTACTCCGCTTAGACTCTCACCGTTGTCTAATGATTTTTACAGATTCTCAGCAAAAATTGATATTCCCTTTGGTCAAGGACTGACTATCTCCAAAGTAAGTGAAATATGGTGTGCTTGGAGCCCCCGAGCTGTGAACATTACCAAGATCCATTATTTCAGCATGGTTGTCTCCAGGCTGGCTCCAGCACATGAAGAAAGGACTTGGTAAGAAGCCTGACTCCTGCCTTCCCATAAAGTCCTGAATCTGTTTGATACCTCTTACTGGTAAAAGCTCAGGTGAAGGGATGCTGAAGCCGGACAAGGGCTGGGATCTCTAAATATGTTGAAAATGCTGTCTGTTCTTTCTCAAACATGTCTCTCTCATTCGGGTATTTGCTCTATGATAGCCTTTTGCCTTGGCAGCTGGTGAGTCTCTGCCTTGTATTTCGAGACCGATAAGGAAAGGCAAGTTCACTCGGAGCGCTTGGGGAGGAGAGGCCCTGATGGCATGGCCTGTGCGGCCTCTCACCCAGGGATTGCCCACCTCCCCGTTCTGTGTGCCCTGCTCATTTGGAGAGCAGAAGGTAAGGGAGAGGGGGAGGGGGCCTACTCTGAGGGCCTCGCAGGCGCTAGCTAGCGAGCTCCTTATCTGCAGACTTGGCAAATTCTTTACAACATCTGATCAAGGAAGGCCTTTTTTGATGTTTCTGCATGTTCTCGATTTACTGCCCTGCTGCTGGGATGTGACGTTGCCCTTATCAGGAGCCCCTTCAGAGCTTTCCAGGCGGGTTGCAAAGTCTGCGTGTTTTTAAATAAACAGCAAGCCAGTTGCAGAATGTTGCTTCTTTGAGGCTAAAGCAACATTTGGATAGGAGAGCAAATGCCAGACCCTAGTGATCTCCTGCCTTTTATCTGGTTCTTACCCCTCCTCTCTTCTCTTCCTGTCTCCCCTCAAGCTCCCCTTCTTGCTCATTCTGCTCTCAGGACCTTCTCTGCATGTCTCTGGGACCTGGGCTGAGTTACGGGAAGCTGCTCGCAACCTCCAGGATTCTGCCTTGTATCTCCTTGAGCCTGGCTCTGCAGACGACAGACGGAAGACTTACCGGGAGAAGGGGCTGGCCGTTTGGACTTTCCATCTGCTATTCCCCCAAGCCTGCAAAGCTCTGATCTGTATGTCTAGTATAGGGGGCTCCAACCAGGTGAGGAGAAGGAAGGGGCCTTGGACGGAGGCTGATTCATGCGGGAACAGCCAAGTCGTCAGTGTGTGGTCTCAAACTATGGAGGGAAAAGCCTCTCTTCCTTACCTACTCCTGTATCATGACTCGCACTCCCTGGGAAGTCATAACGTCCCCATCCCATGCCCACTGGAAGAATCTGGAAAGAGATGTCCTCAAAGAGGATGCTTCCCAAAGACACTTTAATAACTCCCTTTCCGTTTTCCTAGGCCTGTTGTAGTACAACACACCTGAGCCCTTCAACTTCAACTTTAAGATCCATCATGTTCAAAGTGCCCATATCTTTTCCTTCTTTCTTTCTTTCTCTCTTCCTTCCTTCCTTCCTTCCTTCCTTTCTTCCTTTCTTTCTTTTTTAATTATCTTATGGGGCGAGCAAGTGGCGTGACAGTAAAGGGTGCTGGACTCCCACATGGCCGACCATTGTTTGAGTCCCAAACCTGTCAGCTTGCTTTCTTACTTTCCCTCTCTCTCTTTCTTTCTCACTCTGTTCCTCTCTGACCAAATTTAAGAAATAAATAAAGTTAAATAAAATAATTCTTTAAAAAATTATCATATGTAACTTTATTTATTTATTTATTTTAATTTGGCCAGAAAGGAACAGAGAGAGAGAAAGAAAGTGAAAAAGCAAACTGCCATGTCTTAGACTTGAACCTCCATCAGCCATGTGGCTGATTCAGCGTCTTTAATCACCACGCCACCTGCCAGCCCCAGTGCCCGTATCTTTTCAAACTTGAAGAAGACCACACTGGGCCAGCTGTGGCACGGTGATTGGAGCAGCTGGATCCCACATGGCTGTGTGGTTTGGGTCCCAGATCCTATGGTCAGGTAGGGACCAGCAGTTAGCATAATGACTATGTCGCTGGACTCCCACGTAGTCGACCGCAGTTCACATCCTGGACCCGGTGGCTTAAAACTCACGCCGGGCGCATGTGCGTGCGTGTCCAAGATCCCGAGAGGAGAATGGAGGAGAAGGATTGTGGCATGGCCATCCCCCTCGGGGGGGGATTTCTCGTTTTCTGTCTCTCTGTCTCTGTCTGTCTGTCTGTCTGGCGAGTGCATGCGCCCTATAGCAAAAACCTCTCAAAAAATAAATAAATAAAAAGAAAGAAACATGCCAGGCATATGTGCGTGTGCCCAAAATCCTGAAAGGAGAAGTTGAGAAAAAGGGACTGTGACACAGCCATCCTCCATGGTGGGGAGGGAAGCGCTTTCTCACTTTCCCTCTTTGTACCTCTTCAGCCAGTGCATGTGCCCTCTAGCAAATTAACAAAAACAAACACCCCAAGTGGAAGATCCATAAAGCAAAACCTCCCAACCTGGCCAAAACCTGGACCATTAGACCACATCTGCAATTCAACCAGTATCTGGCTTGGACTCTATTTGTAGGAATTCATCAATCTCTAAGGATTACACTTAGAGTCCCTTGTGGAACTTAGTGATATTGACTATTTGAGTAGTCTGCCTCGTTTCTCTTTTCCAAGCGGAAAAAGAGAAGGCAGTGAGCTGAGACACTGAATGCCTGGAGGCCTCACAGCTAGGGATGGGAGTGAGGGCAGGGTGAGGGTGGAAGAGAGGTCACCATTCTAAATGTATTATATATTCCACTTAAGTGAATTCATACAGATTCTTTTAAAAAAAAGAATTACTTTATTTAATTTTATTTATTGTCATTATCTTTTCATTTGATCTGAGAGAGAGAGAGAGAGAGAAGGAAAGAAAGCAAGCTGCCATGTCCAGGATTCGAACAGCAGTCAGTCCTGTGGGAGTCCAGCACCCTAATATACCACCCGCTAGCCCTGGATTCATACAGATTCTTGTGAACCAGAGGCAAAAAATAAAATGATAGATCATTTTTCAGATATGTTATTTTGGATATATCAGTTGTCTTCTTTGAGCCTCAGGCTTCTCACATGTAAAGTGAGAGTAATGATCATATTAACCTCCCAGAGGTGTGATAAGAATTAAGGGCTAACAGCAAAGTGCTATATAAATGTCAGTTACGACAATGATAAGAGAGCTACTAACAGCTGCCACCAAGAAGAGAGGTCAGAGGACCAGCAGGTGGTGTGGTGGTTAAGGAGCTGGGCACTCCCACATGGTCAACCACAGTTTGAGTTCCAGACCTGGCGGCTTGCTTTCTCACTCCCTGTTTCTCTCTCCTCTCTCTCTCTCTCTCTCTCTCTCTCTCTCTCTCTCTCTCTCTCTCTCTCTCTCTGA